TGTGTGTGTGTGTGTGTGTGTGTGTGTGTGTGTACACAGTGATGAATGGGCTCTAATTTAGGAGCGAGCTCCATCTCTTCATCGTCTTCTGCTCCGTGTTGATTGGGCTCGTCTCCGTTGTCTCGAGCGCTCACTGAAATATTCACCATGTTTCCAAATGAAGCGTCGTACCTCAGCTCTAATGTCTCTGGATGTTTCAGAGTTATCAGAGTGAGGCCGTTTCAGGCCAGCTGAAATCCAAACCAATGAAATAAAACCAGACTCGCAGCAAGTCTGAGATTTCGTACTTTTTGCAGGCTCCATGTTGGGCGCAGCGGCCGAGCGGCACTCTGATCACACAGCTGCTGAAAGCCACAAACAAGGCGTGATGGTCCTTATCGAGCTCCAGGCCCAGAACCCTCCTGTCCTCCTGACCCTGAACGTTGCACCTGAGCACAAACAGAGACAGTCGGTTAAACAGAGAAACAGGAGGATTCGCCCGTCCTCAGAAGCACGTCTTACTTGGACGGGTTGTAGACGTCGATGTCCTCCAGCAGTTTGGATCCAAAGCTGTCATTTGGATGGGTGCTGGCCAAAACCTTCAAGACCCGCCCATCGTCTGAGCCCAGGAACATCACCGTCCGGTCCTTGAAAGGCCCGGCAGAGACATCCACCACAATCTGGGTCAACTTAGACCTACGAGGAAGACAGAAGATGAAATCTTTTCTCTGCGGAGGGAATTCAGACAGTTTTTCTTTACTCTGATGAGCTTGTGATTCTGAGCGAGGTTGTGAGGACGACAGCCTTTCACTCCCTGACCACGACCCTACCCAGAGTGAGGTTCAGGGTTTGCGCTGCTTCTCATCACTGACACAGTATTTCTGCCGTGACTGGGTGATATTTTAAATTAAAAACACATTTTGGTATAACTGCTTTAAAAATAGGGAGATTTTGTTTACTGACACAGTCCGTGAACACTTTTCATCCTGCTGCTATTAAAACAGTTCAAACCATGCAGCAGGGATGTGCAACAATAGCAACAATAAAGTGCCATCTTTGCCTCACAGCTTCACACAGCTCCTCCTCTCTGACACAATTGGGGGCTAATCCGGGATCTTGTCCTTGAAATGAATTTCTTGCTATTTTTTATTTTGTATGTGTTTCTTTGGTGTTTATAGAAAAGGTTTGAGCATATTAACTGTGTTTGCATTCATTCAGACGCTGAGTATTAGTCAGACAGACGGTGAAAGAAAACATAAAAATAAGGAAACACAGATGGTTTCTTCTCAGTGCAGGACGTCCATCAGAGGCAGGGAACACAGCAAGGTTCCCGTCCTCAGTCAAAGGAAGTGGAACCTTTTAAGTTTCATTTATGGTCGGGATAAAGCTCAAGCCTGTCAAGCATCAGTGTGAATGAAAATGATTGGAGTGGATAAAGACATGAAACATCCTCTGGGGACCTTGATTTAACCACGGAGGGTTCCTTTCCGTTTTTACCTGTTACTGAATCACAAAGACTGTTGGTATGTGAAAGCTTGGAGCGTTGTGGAGCAAAGGCTAATTCATACGCAGAAGAGCCTGATTCCTATTCCAGAGTGATAATTACAATCCATCAGAAACTCATTTGAAAAAGGTCAGAGACTTTCAGAGCCGCCACAGAGCGAGAACTTCCTGTGAGCCGGCGACTAATCAGAGCTGATACCGATGATTATCCTCCAGGCGTTGTGTGGGGACGGTGGAGGCGGTGGGAGCTGCTGTGACTCCTAAACTCATCTCAACAGTGAGGGAGCTCGTGATGGCTCCACAGTTCACCGGCTCGGTCATTCAACGCTGCAGATCACTTTCCTGTTGCGTCGTGTGATAGAACACAATAGAAGACTAGAACAGACTTTATTAATCACCAGTTCAGCTCAAAAACAAATAAGAAAAACTAAGAATAAAACATCCGCAGCAACAGAATTCAGAATTTTGGTAAAAGAGATGAGGAAACCAGCCAGAATGAGCTCGCAGGCTCCATTTACGGCCAAAAACACAGCTGAGCTTTGAAGACCAGGACTGGACTCACCGTGACCACACGATGCCTCCAACACAGCTGAAGCTGAAGCGTTACCAGAGGTTTACTGAAACACTTTCACACATCAGCTTCCACCTGCATTGGGAACGTGAGTCGGCATGGTAACCTGAGCTCTGGCTGTGATCGTTCCCTGAAGTGAAGCTCAATACGATTTGACCAATCAGAGCACTGAACCATTGCTGTTACCTGCTGGACGTCCTGGTGAAGCAGGGCCGGTCGTTGACGGAGGGAACAGCTTCGTCCATCAGAGGATACGACTTGATGAAGGTCAGCGTGTCGTCCGGGAACTGAACAGACGATTTGTATTCTGAAGCCGAGCCGTCGCCTGCACACGTACCGGGCCTGGACATTTAAGAATGAAGCAGACACGTCAGAGCTCGTCTTGGTCACAAACACAAAGCTAACTGGGTTTAAGTAAGCGGGACGGAAGGCAAACTGGGATTTAGTCCTCACCTCGGTCTGGGGACTTGCTCGTCGGGTACGGGAGTCCAGGAGGAGTCGCTGGTCCTCTGCTCTTTGAACTTCCCGTTGAACACCTTCTCGATATCGTCCATGTAGAAGGCACAGACGGCCGAGCCGGGGATACTGGAGAGAGACGGACGGCACGAGTCAGCAGACCTCCGTCCAACCAATCACAAACACCATCATCAACAATGACGTTCATGGAGACAGTACGAGCTGTCTCTGCTCAGTCCAAACTCAAATCATCCAGACAGCTCGCTGAGAGAGGGCGAATGCTGCGCCGCGAGTACTACAGGTCTGTGAAGAAATGTGGGTGGGGAGCGGCGGGAGACATCCAGCACGAAACGTGGAAACTGGTCCAAACACCAGCACGCTGCTCCCATCTTAACGGGCCCAGAGCGGCTTTGCATGAATCACAGGTCAGAATAATCCTTCTTTACCTGACACTGGATAAAACAGGCTGTTTAAGGTCCTCCCACTTTAAGCCCACCGTCCTGAAGTTTTAAACAGCAGATGGGCGGGGCTTCTGGGTGCCTCATATGACCGTGCATCATTTCACTCTGATATCATGCAGCCAAGATTAGAAAAAACGGTCCTCCAATCACATTCCAGTAACACATTCACATCTCCAGCCTCCCAGCGACGCCCTCTCCTAAACTTCCTGAAGTCCCCTGGTTGCCCCCGGCTCATCCGAGAGCACGTCCTCAGAGGTGTGACCTCCATCACAAACACTGAAAAGCTCCACCAACAAAAATCCACCTCTCCAAAAGCCCCGCCTTCCCAAAATAACGGCCCAATAACTCATCTTCTAAAACCCGCCTGCTCGCTCCGAGTGTCCACACATTTACCGAGGAACAAGGACTTCTTCCCGAAAACACACCACAGCGTTCTCACCTCCTTCTCCAAACACATTAGCTCTGAGCCTAATCAGACTCCGCCCCTCACAGCGGCGTACCTGTTGGCCTGAGTGGTGAAGACGCCGACCACGGCGGGTCTCTGGTTGATCTGCAGCACGTTGGTGAGCGACTGGAGCACGTCGAAGTAGAAGAAGGAGTCTCCGGGCACCGAGCAGTTGAGCCGAGCCTGAAGCACACGAGCAGAGCGATGAGACACAGACGGGTAAAGTTCGGCGCTGCACGCAGCGTGTTCGCTACCTTCAGGAAGGACGTCCAGTATCGCTCCAGGACTCTGGGAGATCCCCCGTTATCGTTCTTACAGACCCGGGCCACCCGAGAGAACACCACCTGCAGACCGGCGAGAGAACAGGTCATTAAACCACCAGCGCCGTGGTGATGGTCACTTCCTGTGACATCACCTTCACATGAAAGAATACAAAATCGAATTAACTGAACATCCAATCACACGAGGCCTGACTAAGAGTGTCTTTACTGTCGGGTCACACACACACTCACACACACACAAACGCACACACACACACTCACACACAAACACACACACTCACACACTCACACACACACACACTCAC